CAGCATATGTATGTGGGGGATATGTGCAACCATCTCTCATGAGACACAGGGTCATGCTGCATAGCCGTTTTTACTGAGTACTTGCCTCTTCCCTATGAGACACTCATTCAGCAGTATCATGGAGGGAGCTTCTTGGCCAACCAAGAGCTCACAACCACCTTTTCCCTTGCAGTCAAGAACTATCTACTCTGTATTAAAAACCTTGCTACAGATAGTCCTCACTTAGCAACCACTTATTCAGCGACCATTCAAAGTTATGGTGCTGAACGAGATTTATGGACGGTCCTCAAAGTTGCAGCCATTGCAGTGTCTCTGTGGTCATGTGATCACAATTCGAACGCTTGACAATCAGCTTGCAATTACGATGGTCGCAGTATCCTGTGGTCACGTGATCACCATTTGTGACCTTTATTGCCAGCTTCTGACAAGCAAAGCCAATGGGGAAGCTAACAGAAAGTTGCAAGTTGCAGTGACACGATGTCACGTTTAATGACCATGCATGATTTACTTAACTGCTGCTGTAAGTCAGTGCAGTCATGTGATTTTCTGCTTTATGACAGTGTTGCTTAGCAATGGAGTTCCCAGTCCCAATTACAGTCATTAACTGAGGACTACCTGTATTTGCTTCCCCCTCCTATTTTATATCTCCCTAATTCTGCCTATATCCAACTGAAGTCAGACTGCAATGCATTTCAGCCTATACTGTTTCTCCGGGACAATAATATGGGCCAGTTTATGACATGGTAAATGAAACAAAACTGTTCACAGCTTCGTTGGGAAGATTCTTTCATGAAGTTTAACTTTAAAATAAAGGAGCTGGGATCTGCCACACTGGGACATGTGGCTGAGAGAAAGTCAGGGAGTGAAGGGAAAGTGCTGAAAAGATCAAGGGTAGGCAGCCATGGACATATGCTGTGTTGGGACATCAGTGCAATGACCGGAAAGAGGAAGAGTGCTGAGATGAGACAGTATATCATGTCAGTGCATTGGCAGTGGCAGCTGAGGAGTGGGAGGCTAATGAAGGCATGGAGAAGATGGGGAGAAGGTGGGCTAGTGGGATATGCCATGCTGGGAGCTGCTGAGAGGAGAGGGTAGGAAATATCCACCAGCCTTCCTCTACTTGTTAAAATTAGGATCAACTCTCAGTTTAACATTTGGCTTTAAATGTTAATCTGTTCCCCAGTTAGTCTGTTACTGTTGAATGGATAGTTGTAAAGCTGAACCTGTGTTCCATTAATACAATGATACAAATTTAGCCTGGTATTATTCACCTTCCATAAAGAGAGTGATGCAAAGTGAAGAATTTTACACTAGCGACACATGTCACTGTGAAATTTTTAGCAGCCACACTCCCCACCACCCTATATTATGTTTTACCTTCAAAGTATTGCTATATATGTACTGGGGACATGGTGACATTTCAGGCTCTCCTTTCATTCTATTTTGTTTTGAAAAGACACTGTGTTTTGAGGAGGTGGGGAGTTACAGAAAATTCCAAGGGGATCATTTAGAGTTGGTCAAGACTGAAGCAGTATAAAAGTCTCACCAATAAATTGTGTTGTGTTGACAATGGGAACAACCCACCCTCATCGTATGGATGATGTGAAATGGATTTCTGTATACAATCTATTATGCAACCAAGAGGAAGAAATAATCATGAATGTTTTAAAAATACAGTGGTACCTTGGGTTACGAATGCCTCTGCTTACGAACTTTTCGGGTTGCGACCAACTCCGGCTGCAAAAATTTACCTCGGTTTGCGAACTCCGCCTCGGGGTATGAACTGGATCTGCGGCCATTTTCCGCTGTGACACGTGGTCCGCGGCCATTTTCTGCCCATGCCACGTGGTCCGCGGCCATTTTTCTGCCCGTGCCATGTGGTCCGCGGTAGTTTTTCTGGCCTGCTGCGTGGTCCGTGGCCATTTTTCCGCCCTGCCGCGTGGTCCGCGGCTGTTTTTCCGCCCTTGACATGTGGTCCGCGGACGCTGGAACGGATTAACGGTAATTACATTGAACCTTATGGGAAAATTTGCTTTGGGTTGCGAACAAATCGGGTTGCGACCAGAGTCACGGAATGGATTAAATTTGTAACCCGAGGTACCACTGTATATTTTTTTTCTGGATACTAAAATGGCTTGATCAAAGGAAATGTGTTGAGTGACCATAACTAATCATTTAATTAAAAACAGAATGAAGAAGGCATGGCAGATGTTAAAAGCAATGTGTTACAAGAATCCTAAGATTTCATAGGAGCATATTAAGCAATCCTTAATGAAAAAATCAGTAACAGTGGACAAACATCTCTGAAAAGACAGTGATTGCCACTATTTATTTCTCTCTGCATTTCACACCTATGCAAGGGTGTATTGTCAATTTAAAGTTTAAAAACGTGCTAGATCCCCATATGGACCAATTATTTGCCCTAAGTTAAAACTCAGAATTTCTCTGCAGTGTACAAAAACACCATGACAAGACTTTTTCTTTACCCTTGACAACATTTTTAGAAGTGGTTTGTCATTACCCTCTTCCTAGGGCTGAGAAACAGTGAATGGCCCAAGGTCACCAGCTGGCTTCTGTGCCTGAGGAAGGATCAGAACCTACTGCCTCCTGGCTTCTAGTCCCATCCTTTAACCACTACACTGAACTGGCTCTTTCCATGATAGATGTTCAATGGTTAATTAGCAAAAGATAGAAAATCTGGAAAGCAGTTATAGACCCTCGAAATACATTAGAATATTAAATTAGTGTAAGAACGTAAGAGCTCTGACAATGTTATTGCATCTGTCTGACACGGAATTGAAAATCCTAAAAATGAGCACAAGGGAGGAAATGGCAAGTGATGTTTATTTGCGTGAGAGAGAGAGAGGTGGAGAAAGAGCAAACCTTTCTCTGTTAAACTGTAAGTATGTATTAATACATTTATTCTATCTGGGTTGCTATAAACTAGCCATGTATGTGGATGACTCAGGATCGAAGGAAAACTCAGCTGTGGAAGCCATAAGAGAAACCAAGGTGCTATGATGGAGACTGCAATCAGAACTATTTCATACTATCGATCCCAAAAAGAAACTCATTTGAAATAAGGAAGTGCTAAATAAATAAATAAGAAAGTGCACCAATGTATAATTGGTGGGTAGAATGATTAACTCTGAAATGTTAATGCCAGGCATCGGCTTGTTGTTTTTCTGTTAAGAATGACTTGTGTGGATTATATAGATTAAATCTATCTTGTACATTTGCCTAGCAAAAGATCTTGTCTTATAAAAACAGAATAAAACAAAGCACACACATACATACCAAGTAAAACAAAAAAGGACAGCCCAGGCCTAAATGTCACTGGGACAGTCAGGAATGCAGCTGTTATCACTGAAAATGTAATGGTGATGGATGTGGTCTACATGGAAGCCGAGGTGTCTTCAGGATTTCCAGGGTGAACAGAGTAAATCACATTAAGGACAGCAGAGTCAACAGAACACTGAACAGGGACTTTTTCATAGCCTTCTCAGCTTCTCAAAATCTAATCCTCTCTGTCCAAGGTTCAAGAAAACTAAAAATAAGTGCTATGCAATTTTGTGGTAAATAGCAGGAACAATCCACCAACAAAGATTCTTAAAATAGGGCTTGCATAAGCAAACCTCCCAGTGGGATAAGAAAGGAAAAACAAATAATATGCCCACCCAGGTCCAGTGTATCCTTCGCAGAATGGCAAATGATAACATCAGCAATAATATATGTGCAAAATATGCTTTTTACAAACCAGTGTCTACAACTAATTATTTTAAAACATGTGCCATGTGCTTATGTTCCCTTCTCAACTAATAATGTCCCTTTATACCCAATTCCTCTTCTTCAATCTCCATACATTGATAGATGGTCTGATGATCCAAAAATCTGAGTTTCATCTTGGATCAGAACAATTTTGGCTCAGACCTTAACACAGTCCTGAAGCTGATATGTGCAGGGACACCTACTTTCTCAGCTGCAGTTCACTATTTTTTAAGACATGGGACTTACCTTAAGGAACTGTTGCCAGGATAAAGAGGAAAAGGAGGGTCATAAAGTACTTTTCAATCTAAAAGTGCTAAGGAAATATTCTCAATAAATATTGAGAACCCATAACAGATTAGTCCAGGCATTACATTTTAAATTAAAAGGAAAAAAAAAAAGTTAAATCTCCTTTGAGTCACGTTTGGCTCCTGGTGGCTTCATGGATACATCCATGTAGTTTTCTTGGCAATAATCAAGTTAAAAACCAGGACTCCATCCCATGAGCCCTCCAGGGCTGGTAGGCCTAAAACTATTGCTTGGAAATATTCTAAACAATCTAGTGATCACATTCTGCTGTTAAGAATAAAATGGCAGCAAGGTTCAACTCTACAGTCTGAATTCAGTTAAGATTCCTCCCAAATCTCTTTCAGGGATACATTACTTCCCATAAGGAAGTCATTGTGTACTTCTTCTGAAAATGTACAAGTTCATTCTTGTTAATAAGTACCTGGAATTCAGCTCTCACAGCGCTGTTTGTAACACTGGAATCATCCAATGAAACGCAGTATTCTGCAGAGTAAATAAGCTGCAAGGAAGCTTTTTTAGGAAAAAAGAATTAAATAACTTCCGTTCATTTTTCTCACAAAGCAGTCGATGCAATGTACCCTCTTCTTTGTATCTTAGCTATAATCTCGATTCATAAATTAGTCTTCCATCAAATAAGTTAAAAAAAAACTGCAATAGTTCAGTTTCTCTGGCTCAGGGCCAGGTAAAAGTTAGATGGCCCATCAGAGTTTCTGAATTTGTAAATCTTCACATCAGTATAGGTGGTTTCCAGATAAGTGTCTGTATGTGTGAAAAGATGGCTTAGAAAGAGACTAAGCCAAGACAAGGAGAGGACCCAATGAACTTCACAGCCTTCATGGGGGACCTCATACTGCTTGGAAATGCCAACTATTTTCATATTGCACTGGTACAGAAGGCAGTTGCCTCTCAGCAGTCCGTCCATAGGATCAGTGATCTCTGCACATAGGCAAATTTACAAAAGTGAAGACATTAAATTCTGTCATGATGGAGAAACACAAGAAGATTCCATAGAGGGAAAGGCACACAAACCCCAGCTTCTTATCCAACTTCCACTTGTTCAAATGAACTCCAAACACCTAGAAATAGAGAGGAAGCCATTACTACTATATAAATCTAGAGCTGGCTCTCCTATATCCTTGAGCCAATGTGAATAATCTTCTCTCCATTAACCTCTCTTATAAATCTCTCAGCAGTACTTTCTCATCCAATAAAAACAGTTTGGCCCAAGTTCCTTGACAAAGAGATGCTCATATGGAAAATCCAACAGATTTATAATATTGCATGTAACTGATTTTTAAAAATGTTCAGTTTTATCCTTGGTACAATCTGATAAGATCCAATTTTCAGGTCTAAATGCTCCCCCTCATTCCATCTAAACATGTAAACTGGTACTGACAGTTTGAAGATCAGCCACAGGTATTGACTCTGTGGATTTTGGATTTTTTTCCCTCATGGCTAATATGGCTACTATTGCTTTTTATAAAACAAAAGGAAGATATACTTACAGTGACAAAAACTGAGGCCAGCAACAAGCCCACAGAATAGATAAGTCCACGGCTATTCAATCGAATCTGAAAAATTAGTAGGATACTATAAGAATCCTATCATTCATGTTATTTCCAATGAATTGGAATTATAACTTCTATGCAACAGGAAACTGGCTATCAATATATAAAGCAAGTCTGTTATGCCACATCTTTAGGAACTTTGGGTTTGGTAGTCTGGGATTCTGAGGGCATGCATGAGTAATTGTGGCTAATGGCTCCTGAAAAATCCACCTAACTTAACAAGTTTTTCACATGTGCCTCCTCACATTCCCGATGCTCATACAAGAGAGCTAGAAAGGTTTTCCACAAAACTTCTCCACTATAGGAATAACTGCTGAGGTTCACTATCTGATTAATTTGGCACATGGAACCGAGGGCTTGACCCTCTCTAATTTCTTGCGCTGTAAAGGAGATGTGATGGAAAGATGTACTTTCAGACTTGCAAGATTCTGTTAATGTAACCTTACAATAAAGTAGAATTAATCCATCTGGTCATACTTCCTGTCTGGACTACCTCGCAAGGCTGACATTGTTTGAATAAAGTATGGATGACTAACACATGTCTATCTGGCTGGCTAGCACTTGCAAAGACATTTTTGAAATTGCTTAGACTTGAAGCACCAGAAAGCACAGTGTGTTCTGGGATTTGGGTGGTGGTTGCAGAAAGAATGAAACCAAGGGCCTTTCTCTAAAACACAGTATGTCATGTTCAAAGGCTGCTTAATTGCTGAAGGCAAGAGTTGCTCTTATTCAGAACAGAGTTCTATTTTTTAAGAAGTCTCTTGCTCCAGTTCAGGTCTTTTCTTCTGTGATTTAAGTGCTGAAGGCAAGGGCTGTTCTTACACAGAGCAGTTGCATTTTCAAAATCTCTTTGTTGCATTTTGCCTAAAGAGAAATTCATGGAAAAAGTCATTCTGAAAGGACATTCAGTTCCTCATATTTCCCAGAGGAGAGAATTATAAAGCCACCCAGAAAAGGAAACATATGTCTTTCTGAAATGCGTGAACCTATGACTTCTCATTACCTCGTGAAGGGATTCATGATATAGCATAAGGCAAAAGAAAAAGTCCAAAGAACTTAATATCATGCCACATGTGTCCAATCTATCCAACTCAGTGACTTAGAGAAATGCATGTCAAACTGCAACTTCAGGGTTTTTTTTCTTGCTATAGAATAATTTGCCACCTGTGGCAAATGACAAGTTGAAAGGTAGCTAACTATCACTAATTATTTGAACATACTGTAGTTTTAGGTTTGTACTTGGGTGAAATGGAAAATGCTGCTTGGGTTTTCAGCTGTCTTGCTTGGATCTCTCCCTTTAAGCTTTAGAAGCCAGAATCTATGTTGGGGAGGATGAATAAGCATAAATAAATAACATTTTGTGGTGCATTGGGTGGGGCACACTGTATTTCTGATCTTCATCTGATATGTTGGGAAATACGCTTAAGGACTGGACTAGGTCTGGGAAGAGTCCGGTCTAAGTCCATCTACAGCCATGGAAGCTTACTGGATAGCTTTGAGCCAGTCACCATTTCTCAACCTAGCCTATCTTCCAAAGTTGTTCTGGAGAAAAATTGGAGCTGGAAGTGCTATGAATGCCGCTGTGAGCTTTTGAGGAAAAGTTGGATAATGAAAGCATGAACGAATCTCACAAACATAGCATAACCAGCTCATGGATAAGTGAGGAAACAAACCAGAAGTAACATGTCATATATGAACATGGGGTAATCATTGCTAACCTCATACAGAAACCAACTCATGTGTCTACGAGTTTACAATATTGGGTATGGCTGCATAATATTCTGTGCTATTGCTCCTATCGAGACTATGCAAATTCATCCTCTACTTCTGCATTAATTTACGTTGCTTCTTCATTCAGCTTGCATTAAGATTAGTGTTGCCTTTTCCCATGCTAATTTAGATTCATTTGATGCCTATTACAGTACAGTGCTGCCTTCTGAATTCAGCTTGCATTTGGCTAAACTGCATCTCATCCATTGCCAATTTGGCTTGCATTGCATAAGCTTTCCATATTTCCTGCTGATGTGGACTATATTAAATTTTCAGTATTTCACACTAGGTTAACATTAGATTAGCATTCACTTTGGGAGAATGTAGTATATGTACAGTATAGACAGGACAAAAACCTTTAAAATAACTTTTTAAAATAAAACCAGTCAATCGATGTAAACTTGTTAGACTGCACTCCCCAACCATGTGGCACATCTAAAGAAAAGGACAGTTGGCTATTGGCACACATATGGATCATTATATTCACAAGTAAAAGAAATCACAATTTAGACATAGGCATCACAGGCATTGTTACAGGACTGAACAAAATTACAGGGTAGGATGTGATTTTCGTTTGCATGTGTAGCTTCTACAATATACTTGTCCATTTTGGGGTGGGTATCTTTGTTGCTTAATGTCATATTCCATAACAGAAACATAGTACAAAAATCTTAAGAGTACACTGGATTTTTTTTTTTTTCTGGTAACATCACCTTTGCATAAAGATCACAAGTACACATTTTTCAGGGAAAATGTCCCACATTCTAAAATGGGAAGCTGCCTTACAACTAGTCCTACCATGGGCTCCTCTAGTTCAATCACCAGGAATTTCCCAGGATTTAAGACTGAGTCTTTCCTGTGACCTTCTTCACACAAAGCAGAGGTGCTCAGCTCTATATTCTGGCCTTTCTCTTCAGCTTGGAGATACCAGCAAACATTCTCTGGAGAGTAGGAGCGGAGCCCGTAGGGAATGCCCTTCCCTCTGGGGATGGGGAGAAACAGCTGTGCTTGGCCAGGGCTTGGAGCTCATTTGATCTGCACATTGTTGATCAACCACTACTTTCCTCAACTTACACAATACAACCTTGTTCATTACTTCAAATGGATACTGCACAAATGCTCTTGTTTCCTGGGGAATGTGAATGTGCCAATTTGGTTAAAAAGCTGACAGTATCAGCAAGCAAATGCATTGCATTTCTGTTAGTTCTGGTGAGTGGGAAGTCTGTGCAAGAGGTCCACCATGATATATAGGCCTAACCTTAAAATAAAGGCATACTAGGTCAACTTCTTTTCTGAGGTATAAAACTGTTCCACCTGAGGCTAAAATCCTGAAGAATTGAAATCCAAAGGAGCTGTCCAAGACTTAAAATAGCATCTGGCATCAGCCATAGACTGAATGAAGAAACACAAATCCACTTTGGATACAGGAGCTCTTGTTCAGTCAGGAAGGAGGTCAAGGAATTGTTAACTGCCCAGGGTTTATTTTGGAGGGGAAAGCAGACTATCAGTCAAACAAATAAACAAGTCAATACTTTTCATGGCTTCTTTCAGTTAGGTAATACCATTCAATTTAGCTTGCAGCCCACTCCAGACTTCGCTCTATAGCTTACACAGAAGAACATGTCATATCTTCACATTAGAATTCTTTACCATATATGAGAAAACATTGTTTTTCTAAGCAGCTGCACACCCCATTGCCTCAGCACAAGGCTTGCTCTGAGAAAGGGAGAGGCTCATGCCGGAATAAGAGAAATGCAATCTTGGAGCCTTGCTTAACAGTACATATGGATTAGGGCTGGGCAACAATTCAGATTCAAAGGGGGAAAAGTGATTCAGAGCAGGCATATCATGCCACATAGCACCTTGTGAAATCAGGCGTGTCTCTTCTTAGGACTCTGTGATGGCTATGCAAGCTTACAAAAAGAGGTTGCTTCTTTAAGGAATTGCCAATTGGTGCAACACATGTACTCCAAATCACCTTTTCCTTTTCGGATCCAAATCTCTGCACAGCTCTAATATACCAAGAAGCCCTCCAAGCATCAATACATTGCATTAGTACTATAATCAGCTTTATCTCCCACCACTAGCATTACACATTACATTTCCATAAAAAAAAAAAAAAAAACATCACCACCACCAGGAGGCTGGATAACAGCACTGAGCACTTAATTTTTAAATGCTTAGAACTTTTAAATATTTAGAACTTCAGAGAAAGCGCTTAGAACTTTTTAAAAAAATCATGATTTTAGATATATTCCTGAGTTAGAAATATGACAAACTCCTGCCTTTACTCTTACACTTGCCAGATAATTTCCATGCCTGTCATTGCTAGCACTGTTCACTGAAAAAACGGGAAAAGCCTTTTCAGATAAAATAGGCCACAGAACGACAACTTGTTTTACTCCCCATCTTGGCTTCAAGAACAGTTAGGGACTATCTCTTGAACTGAAAGAGGCGAATCGGGGCATCGTGGCTCATGGGGAGGGGGTATCGCTCCCTTTGCAGATCTTCATGATGTGCTTGAACATTTATACCCACTTACGGCAATCAAATACTTATTTAATTGCATTTTCTATTCAGCTGCAGCGTGTGTGTGTGTGTGTGTGTGTCTACTGCCCATTGCACAATTATCCTAGCCAGGAAGACAGGATAACTAGCTAGGAGAAAGGCCAGAGGAGCACACTGCTATACATTGAAAACTATTTTTGCAAAGGGCTTTTTTCCCCAAAGGGTGCCTTTGGATGAGCACAGCTTACTCTTCCTGCCTCTGCTATACTGTATACACATATACCACGACTCTTATGACTACATCAGTTTTTAAGAGTGGAACACTATACCTACTTATGTAGAAGCAACCTCAATTAAGTAAGACTCATTTTTAGTAATCATGCATAGGATTGCACTCTCAGGTTTAGGTGATATTAAGGCATCAGAGTGATAATTTGTAAACTGTTCTGGATGAAAGGTTCCTGGACCTTTAAAAGTTTTCAGAAACATGACATTTCCCAATAGTAAAAGGGAAGGATTCCCGTTAGTCACCTTAGTAGTAGCAGATGTGTATATTTTTGTACTTGGCTCTATTCCAATATACACATGATCTAACTGGAGATTCAGTGGGATCATAATACATAGTTAGAAATAAAGTCTGCTGGGACAGCATATTTAAACAACAGCTGTTTAGAACTGAAAATGGTTAGAAAGGATTACAGTATTGCCCAGGGTGTGTAAATGCA